GGTGTAGAAATGTAATTATGTGTATGTTCATCATAATCCAAGACATTGGGGTTAGCTTGATTGACACAACCAACTGAAGAAACAACAATATATTATTTCACTATTTCCCCCTTAAGGCAACAATGAATTTACCTGGTGAGATACCTCCCCTGGTAAATATAAAGCTAATTGAAGTAATGCACATGACATTAGCACAGATAAGCTGGGGTGTATGTTTGGGTGTAGAGTAAAGATGGCTGACATTTCTAAATCTTCAAGCAACATACTGAAATCTTTACATGGCCAAGAGGAACAAGAACGAGAAGACATAAATCTTCCATTGATACCACCCTCGCTCTTTCATTCTCCAAAATAATTACCTCATAGCAGAAGGGATCTCATGATCCCTTCACTGGTGTGTGAAAGAATCTTTGCTGTTACTGATTCTTGCTTCTGATACATATCTATTTCTCCTTCTTTGCCTTCCAATGTCCTTCAGGCATAATACGTGCCTAGAAGAAGAGAGGAAGGGAAGACTTCACCAGCTAATTCTATTCTTAAATCTTGGCTCAGGCAAATTATAACAGTTGAGGCAAGACTGAGGCCTACTGTAGCGTGATCGTATCGCTGACTAGAAGGCAAAGGAGTCAGCCTGTTCTGGATGGGGTCCCCCTCCCTCTCGAAGGAGCAGGTTTGTGGCTTCAGAATCCTGTTGGAGCCGTACCTACTGTTGGAGGCAAAGGTCTGTTCTGGAGCCTATAGTACCTTTGCCCAGATTCAGCTGGTGCGCTAACTGCAGTCATTCTCGGATCAGCATGTTCTGGCTATAGGTCCCCAGGTTCTGATCACATGTAGACTGGACTAAATGGGGCTGTCTTTGAAGACTACCTGGAAGCTTCAGCTCTGATAAGAGGCATGAACTATCAACAGAAATTATTGGGAGGACATCTTTGGCACAGTTTAAAGTGCTAATTAATTATCTTTTGCAACATAAATGGTTGGGAGCAGGCAAAGATGTCCTCCCAATAATTTCTGCTGATAGTATATGCCTGCCCTGTCATGGCCCTTCTCTGTTGGACCTCCACCTAATGGAAGTGAAGTGGTTAACTATCAAAGAGTGAACCTTTTCTTCAAAGGCTCCTTGTTTTCAGAATGCCTTTTCCTTGACTGGCACCTTACTTTCTTAGTATCAAGTTCTGGGTTAAATCATTCCTGTTGATGTTGGTGACTGTACAATTGTGTTGGCTTCTTTAATCTGTTTCTCCCTCTTCCTTTCTCCCCGTTGCATCACAGACACACAAAGTTTTGTACAGATGTTATGGTTGCCAGTCCACTATGTTGTCATGAATGGAAAGAAATTTAACTGACTGTATTGATACAAATTGTTTGTTTTTTATTGTTGTTTGTTGCTGTGGGGAGCTTGAGAGCTGACGTGTGTGTGTGTCTCTGTGTGTAAAGTATTGTCAATTTGCAGGCAACCTATGGCGACCCCAGCAAGCAGCTTTCAAGGAAAGTGAAACGCAGAGGTAGTTTGACATTGCCTTTCTCTGCCGAGTCTTCCTTGGTGGTCTCCCTGCTTAGCTTCTGCGATCTGACAAGACTGGGCTTTACCATGTTGCCTTCCATCCCTGAGAGGTAGTGTATAGATCCTTAAAATAAATGAAGTAACTTTAAAATCCTGATTCTTTCCCCAGCTTTCTTGACTTTCCATAGGGACCTGCCCATGGCTCACCAACCACAATTTAGGTACCTATGATACAAAGGATCCTTCCTCATAGTTGGGTTTATCACTTCATGATTCTCAGGTGCATCAGTTCCATCTCCCTGCTTGACCAGGGTTTTGGTGGGAGAGGCATCTCTAGGCAATTCGTGTATACAATGCGTTTCCTGCAGCACTCAGAACACATCGCTCCTTCATTAATATGGGGTGATAACAATCTGTTTTAGCTGTCAGACACAAGTTTTGTGGTGGAAACAGAAGAGGGGGAAAAAACAGCCCACAGAATAGAAATATTGTGTCATGGTAAATGTACACTTACGGGATTCACTACCACAAGACATGGTGATAGCTGTTAGTTTAAATAGCTTTAGAACAATTTGACAGATATATGGAGGATATGCTTACACATGCAGATCCATTTCCAGATTTTGGGGACCTTGCACAGAGAGGGCCCAAGACCCCCTGACACCTGGCACCAGAGCCCCTTCTTGCCCCCGACTGCATGTTCCCACCTGCCTGTGTGTCCTTCTCTTGACTGCCTGCAAGATCTCCCACCTCCCGCAGTCACATCCACCCATACAACCTGCACTCTCTTTCCCCCAGCTATGGCACTGGGTGGTTCCTGCAGCTGGGAGTGCTGCCGCCATGGCCACTAGGAGCACTGTTGATGCATACCCCCCACAAGCCCTTACTTGGCACAGCTGGGCAGCATATGCAGCCAGGAGAGAGTTTGCAAGTACGCAAGGGACCAGTATGCACACAAGCATCAGGGAAGGTCTATGGTCGGGGGTTGGCAGCAGTGGACCCTGACAGAAGTCCTGGACTCCGGCAGCTGATACACGTCAGAATGTGCTGATGCTGCCTGTGTGTGAATGACTGCTAGCTGTGATAGCTATGTCACGAGCTCTGTGTTGAGGCACACCTGAATACCAGGTGCATGATAAAGGGCTAATGCTTCCACAGCCTGCTTGTGTGGGCTTTCCAGAAGCATCTGACTGGCAGGATAGAGGATGCTAAAGTAGATGAACCCTTGGATCTGTCTCTTTTTTTACATTCTTATACTAATGGTGTAATTAAAACACGCCACTGTTATGCACTGCCAACATTACAAGGAGAAGCAAACAGACGCTTGAGAAAATCTTACTTGGAGTTTTGGCACGCTAGAATTAGGGGTCTCTCATCTAATATGAAACTCCGAGGTCAGTTTCGCAACATACTTGCTTCCATATTCCTAGAATTAGACTTTTTGGCCAGCTACAGTAATGGGAGGGATGTTACACCCAAAGGCACACATGCTTTGTTAACAGTTTACAGCACAAGGGTATATGCTAAACAGGCAGGATGGCCCATTAGACTAATGCTCTCAATGTGTCTCAAGAGGGCCCTTTGGTGCCCTTGGTGGAGACCCTTTGCGACGGGTGGAATGCTGGATAGGCCGTTGTCACTGCCATTTCTGAGCCGCAGAGGGCGAGACCCTACAAAACAGCCGTGGGTCTGGTGTTACAGCCTAGCTGGAGCTCTTCAGCTGCCTTCTGCTTGCTTGCTGCTCTGTAGGAGTCAGTGGAGCAGCTGGTCAGAGGATTCAGGCTGAGTGAGATGTCCCAGGGCCATCTGCACTGCATGCCTTGGCAGTCTTCTTCAGCCCATCAGCGAGTGACACACTGTCACCTCGACACCTTCCTAGATGCCAAAGGACTAGCAGAGGCTCTTCGACTAGGCAAGCAACCCTGTCGGCTGTGCCATGTTTTCTTCTCTACGGTTGCCACCAAACATCAGGTGAACCTCCTGTGCCCTAACCCTGGCACAGAACCAGATGAAGCACGAGCGTCACAAAGAGCTGGCTGGCGTACTTCCCTCCCCGCTTCCTCCAGCTCTCCCTCCCAACTCTTCCACACTCCATTTAATCACGCTTGAGCCCCCACATTCCCTTCCCACAACAACTGATGAGAAACAATTGAGCATGTTGCTAAGCATGTTGTGGGAGCCATTGATCGTGACCTACAAGTGACTACGTAGCCCTGAGTGGCACAACTTTGCCTTTGATGGGGAGACTTAATCCTTCTCTTTTTGCCGCAGGAGGAGATGTAGCCCCATGGCAGAAAGAGCTGGAGGGAGGGTCAAAGCAAAGCCATGGAATGGGGGTGGGGGAGAAGACCACTCTGCTTATTAATGCCACAGAAAAGAATGCAGAGAGCAGCACAGAAAAACGCAAAAGGCAAGGGGGATAGAGATATAATGGAAAATGTAGAATGCAAACGCACCGACAAGATACACAGACGGGAACCACAGGACAGCCCACAGTTAGTTGGCAAGTTAACTCAACAGAGTTTGTTGTACTTCAGAGAAAGTAAAGCCAGGGGAGGCACCATTCCAAAGGTCCTTCACCTGCACTTCTGGCTTCCACCCTCACTCACTCCTCCTCCCATACCTTGATAAGTGCCTCCACCATCCAGAACTGCCTCTCCTTGAGTGTAGCAAAGCTGGGGAGGAGAGGCACCCTTTCTGAACTTTTCTCTCTCTCTCTCTGTGTGTGTGTGTGGCGGTGATTTTTACAGTGTTTTCAGCCTGCCTGGTTGAGCAACCTTCAGGGTGTGAGGGCACCTGTGAAATGCAAAGGTGTTCAAACACACAAGTCTTTATGCATGCGTGTGCCCAACCTCTCACTGACATGCAGCACCAGGTAAAAATCTCCATTAAGTTTCTTGAGCCTGCTTGGAAAAACAGGATGTTGAGAGAAAGAAAATAAAAATACCTTCTGAACTATAAAATATATCCATCATGCATATCTTATCTATGAGCATCCAGTTAGTTTTCCAACCTTCCTTTCAGGAGTGGTGTGTGTGTGTGTGTGTGTGTGTGTGTGTGTGTGTGTGTGTGATGTAGTTGCACCCCAGAACTGATTGATTCAGGCTTGTTTCATCCACTGCACCTACATTTTATAGAAAACCGAGCATTCCAAACACTGATGTCTGACCATCCTCACTGGCAAAAAGAATTCATTGCTAAGCTTAATCTCCTTTAACTCCCATTTCCGTCCACTCACCCAATTCTTTTATTCGCCACTCCTAATTTTTAAAATCACCACTCCTTTGCCTTGTCTTCCTGAGACCAGAAGGCAAGGAAAGTGTTGAGGTTGGTGAGTGGGGAGAGAGAGAGATACAGGCTTACTTTATTGACTTTGGTCTGGAAGGGGAAAAATTGAACCACAAGAGGCAGTTAAGACAAATCAGTTATCCGTTGCAGAAAAAAAGAAGAGTTGGGGAGGGGCAGAAGGAGCAAAGAATGAGAGATGGAGTTTTACCTGGATATGGTCATCTCTGCCTGAGGGCTCTGTGACTTCTCGAGCCCCAACCTGGTGAAGATGCCCACCAGCACCATGATGGCCACCACGCCACATATAATGTATACAATCATGTTGGTCTTGTCCCTGGTTGGATTCTCAGGGGTCTCATCCACTCGATGTGGCGGTTGGTCTATGCTGATCCATTGTGGTGTGCCGTAATTGGAACAGCCACTTTGGTCCAGTCGCCCAGTTGTGAACTGGCAGCAGAAACGGTACCCACAGGTCCCACAGCAGAACTTGTAGACCCCTGAATTGCAATTAAATGGAGGGTCCCACTGACCCATAACATCATAGTAACCACGGCACTGATCGCCCCCAGGGATGGCCTCGGTGGGGTTCATAGCAGCATCCTCCGAGGTAGGAACTGAGCTGGTATTGCCATTCATCTGCATTTCCAACCCAGGTTTCTGGGTCTTGGGAGCTCCAGTCCAAACCTGTCCAGGATCCAACAGAACCAGGCAACAGAACCCAAAAATATAACCTCGTTCCATCCGTATTCCACCCTGGCTCACCATTGAAGCTGTCTTCTGTTTCCGAGATTAACTTCCACCACAGAGAAAAATCTTGTTTGTCCAGCAGTGCAACAAAAGAGGGATTCAAAAATTCCCAGTTAAAAGCTAGAACACACAACACGTCTCCATCTGCCACTTCCAGTGGAGAAGACAAAGTTCAGCCCCTCCTCACTAAACTCTTTTCTGCTGAGTAAATCTCACCATTAAAGCGAGCCCTCTAGCCAAGGAAAAGGTGTGGGATGGGGGTAGAGATGGGAGTTATTAGTTTAAAAAGAAGAAAGACAATCCAAAAAAATGTGCAGCACCATCTAAGTCCAAAGACCGTCTCTGAATTTCCTGTGTGATTCCTGGAGGCTGAGGACACACAATCCCTTTTTAAAGAAGTAATTCTAATTTCATTTGAAAAGCTGAGCTGAAAATACCATGGACTACATTTCCATCTTGGCTCGAAAAGAATCCTGGAGGCAGCCAGTCTCTTTCTCTTTCTCTCCCCCTTCCTCAGAGACACTGTGCTTTCTGGAGAAAAAAAAATCCTTTGCACCAGTGAGAAAGGGAGGGATCATCAAGAGGGAAAGAAAGAAAAAGGGAGGGGAGGGAAGAGAGAGAATAGGAGGAGTGAATCAGCCCTTACTCCTCCTGAAAGCCAGCCCCACAATTGCCTGACAGTTCCCAAAAGCAGACTGGAATGAAACCTTTGCCAACTCCGCTAGTACACTCCATGTCCTCTGTGCAGAGTTCTGGCTAACAGCCAAGGTTGTCGTCGGGCCAGGGTAGATGCAAGGGGACACCAACCGCTCCTTAGCGACCGCTCCTGCAGGCACAAGTGGCCTATGTGAGGCCGTAAACAGAGGTGGGGCACTTCTTAGGAGAGGGAGGAACAGGCAGACATGATAACCGGAGGTCCCAAGGATCCCTTCTTCTATTTCACAGGCATGTGGCCATCCTTTCTGAAGGGGAACAGTTGTTTTTCAGTAAAATCACACACTCACAAAACAGTGATAACCTTAGCCTGGCAGTATCAGTACTGCAGCGTGGCGTTTGAGAGGTTTACAGTAAAACCATGCGATCTGGAGCCCTCCCTTTTAGTCACCAATCTATAGATCTCTTTTCTAAGTTATGGCCATCTTTAGGTTACCTTTTTAGGCCACGTGCTATGGCCCTAAAGAGACTGCTGAAATACTAACACAAAACAGAGAATATATACATTTGCAAGAAAAAAATAGTGACTTCACTAACATACCACCTTAATCAGACCTACTTGATTAAAGAAAATAAAAGTCTCTGAAATCTGCATAACAATTGGTGATGAGAGTACTAACCAGTTATTGAAAAAAGCCCAGCTGCCAAGGAGCTGTTGAATAGTTATGAACTTTATAGTTGTTTGTGTTTGACAAACTGTCCTTACACAAGGCCTAGGGACAGATGGAGTTGTGTGCTGCCTGTGGGAAGGAGCTTAGCACAGATAGGAGTAGGCAACATTACTGATGTGTTAGTCAAATGTTAGACTGTTCGTACGTGAACAGTGCTTGTTTCTGAGAGCTATGTTGAATGCTGTCAGGGAAGAGTGCGCCCATGTCAACAGGGGAGTGAGTATGTGAGAGAGTGAAAAGGGAATGGAGGCATTGCACACATCCCCCCATCTGTGAATTTGTTTATGTTATTTATAGTCTGCCTTCCTTACGGAAGCTCAAGGTGGATTACACAGTGTACAACCAACATTTACCTCTCTCTCCACTCAATACCTATAGCTTTAGGGTTGGAAAGAGGGGCAAGGGAGAGGTGTCCTCCTTGCATCATAATGCCACAATGACACAAAAGATTGTCTACTCAATTCTCCCCTGCCATTTATTCATTTACAAGCTACTTTCCTAACATGCAAAGTGGTATACAAGCAGCTAATAAAGCTACAGAAGATCCCTTCAGGCTAGGAGATAATACTAACATATTTTTCCAGTTGTGGGGAAATGTCAAAGGTGCTGAGGCTGTGAAATGTAAACAGATGTTTTCATTATATTACAGGAAGGAAGGAAGCAGTGTGAATTGGTATTCGCACTCATTCTGTATCAGTCATGTTTTGTATCCTACCCTCCACTCAAGGAGGACAAGGCAACATGCTTGATCCTCTCCTCCTCTGTTTTAGCCTCACATCAACTCTAGGCTACGCTGAGAGAGACTGACTGATCGAAGATCTCCCAGTAAACTTCAAAGCAACGTGAAGGTTTGAACTCAAGTCTCTCCTGTCCTAGGCTGACATTCTAGCCGCTACATCACTCTGGCTCTCTTCCTCTTGAGAAGTTTTATCAGGATGCCCAGAAAAAAAAATTAATAAGTCTGAGGAGAAATATCCTTTGTACTGTCATACTCATTCTGGCAAGACTATGTATTTATTTCAGGAGGGAAGCTCGACCTTAATACAAAATGAAGGACAAATTATATTTTGGAGCAAAGGCTTAAAGCAAACAAGAAGAAAGCAGAACAAATAATTAAGTTACAAAATTAATTGCAACAAGATGTTGTGACAGCTTTAGGAAAGGAGTGCAGGAACATCAGGAGGGAAGTTCAATTACACTCCTGGCCTGTCATGCTGACAAGCCTTTAACTAGTATTAAAATATGCTGCTAGAAATAATCCCACTTGTTTTTGTTTGGTAGGAGGCTTAACTGTGAAAATGGCCCCTAAACAATCAATTTCTCAGGGAAGAGAAAAACAAGAGATTGAGCAACTTGCTTGCAAAAGACCCAGTGAGGTGATAATACCACATGTGGAGCTTGAAAGGATTCGATTGAGACACCACCCCTTACTGAGAGCAAAAGACTTGCCCCCCCCCCCCGGTGAATAATGGAAATCAGTGGCTGTTCGTGAACATGAGCCTGAACTGAAGTGACAGGGTGAGCAAATGTCTACGCCTGGAGAGCACATCTGGCAGGGACATTTCCGGAAGTGGCTCTCAGGTGGCCCATGGCAGGGTGCAGAAAGATCCATAAGTTATATGTATTCTGACAGCTTATTGCGTACAATCGGCTTACAAACTGTAATTCACCCAGTGGCCATGACCTGCAATGCAATAGACGTTGTGTAACAGTCCCACAAACCTAAGACACTGACTGTTTTCCCAAGCAAGGGAGCTATCCAGCTTGGAGCTGTCCATCTACTACATTTTAGACCTAGAGCTCGACAGAATGACAGAATCTGTACTGCCTGCAGATCCCATCCTTCTGGTCCTGTGGACACCACCCCTTGCTTTCTGTTGGAGGGAATACTTTATAAGCCTCCCTAGTAGGGTGGCTGAATTCCTAACAGGCCTCCGGGGGATGACTGGTATGAAATTTCTCTGTATTTCTGATTTGCAGCCACACTTTCCAGGAGGACCATTTAGAATTTAGAGTTGGACGGGACCTCATCTAGTCCAACCTCCTGCACAATGCAGGAAATTCACAACTACCTCCCCCCACACCCCCCACATCCCCAGAAGATGGCAAAAAAACAAACAAAAACCTCCAGGATCCCTGGCCAAACTGGCCTGGAGAAAATTGCTTTCTGACCCCAAAGTGGCAATCGGCATTTCCCTGGGCATGTAAGAAAGGGTCATAAGAACCAAGCCCTGATGCAGGCAGTAACATCGCTCGGCAGCCACTATGGCTGTTCGAGCACCACCACGGTCGAGGTGAGCTCTCGACCTATATCCCAGCTCCCGCCCACCCAGCGGTTCGAAAGCAATTAGTTGCAAGTAGATAAATGGGTACCCACCCTTAGTAGGGTGGGGGGCACCCTGCCTAGTGTGGTGGACAATGACGGCGGCAGCGGCAACGAAACATCGGCCCAAAGACCGGAGGTGGCGTGGCGTAGAGTGATAGCGGCGGCGGCGGGAGTGATCCCTGCTGGCCAGAAAAAAGGAGACATCTGAGCGGCTGCCGGCGAGACGGGCGCATGATGACGTTGGACGCTGGCGTAAAGCGGAGCCGGAAGGACGTTGCTGGAACCAGAGGAAGGCGTGAATCGTGCGACCGGAGGAAAGAACTGTCGCCGGATCGAAATGGAGCCCGCCGGGAACGAAGCGAAGTGCCGAGCCGAGAGCGAGCATGTCAACCCATCACCACAGGGGTGCCGGTAGGAAACCCCACCCCCATAAAACTCTGTGGCCATAGTTAGGGTAATTTGTGTGACTAGCACCATATGTAAGCCGCTCAGAGACCCCCTGAGAAAGGGGGTTCGAGCGGGATATAAAGTCTAAAGTTAAATAAAAAAATTTTAAAAAACCCTTCCTGCCTTCTGTCTCATAATCTGCCTAAATTCACAGAATCAGCATTGCTGTCAGATGGCCATCTAGCCCCTGTTTAAAAACCTCCAAGGAAGGAGAGCCCACCACCTCCCAAGGAAGCCTGTTCCACTGAGAAACTGCTCTAACTGTTAGGAGGTTCTTCCTAACGTTTAGTTGAAAACTCTTCTGATTTAATTTGAACCCATAGGTTCTGGTCCAACCTTCGGGGCAACAGAAAACAACCCCACACCATCCTCTATGTGACAGCCCTTCAAGCACTTGAAGATTGGTTATCATATCACCTCTCAGTCATCTCCTCTCCAGGCTCAACATACCCAGCTCCTTCAACCTTTCCTCCTAGGACTTGGTCTCCAGATCCTTCACCATCTTCATTGCTCTCCTCTGGACACATTCCAGCTTGTCTATATCCTTCTTAAATTCTGGTGCTCCAAACTGAACACAATATTATAGATGTCTGACCAGAGCAGAGTATTTGAAAGATGAATGTGCATGTACTCTGAATGATCTCTCCAAACTAGGGATGCACCCAAGAAAACAGACAGGGAGGTTCAGTCAATGTAAAGTAATGCACAATGAGACGACACCCCCCCCCCCAACTTCACATTGAATCCTAACTTCATATAGAATCCGAACTTCACATTGGTACTGATGGCATCCAAACTGGCCATGACTGATCAAGAATTACATTTTGGAGTTGTCTGATGCTAAGAATTAGCTTGGCTTAAAGAGACTTACCTATGGCAAAGGAATGTCAGCGTTTCCATGCGGGCACTAGGAGATGGTCCTTGACTAGCTCTGTCAACTTGGAAGTGGTGACTCCTCTGAGCTAAGGGAAGTGGTCAGGTGTGT